GAGTGTCTTTTACAGTACTAGGCTATACAAATTGTTCTATTATTCCCGTGTAAAATTACAATAACGATGGGCGTGGTCAAAGTGCATCCACTGACAGATGTTATGGCTGAATGTGATGGAGAGAGATAAGATGGCTAGATATGCAATTGTTGGGGAAGCAGCGGTTTCTTTCCTCTTTTCTTTCGCTTTCCTTTTTTTTTTGTGACAAACTGAGGCACGCGTCAAAATCTATCACGTGAGGTGGTTACATTTTAAATATCATCACTCTGGAATTGAATTTCTCTGCTCTCGTGGAGGACTTGTAGCCCTAAAAAAAAAAAAAATCGTCTCGCACCAATGCAGAAGCGGTGGATATTGTCTGTTTCCTCTCTCTTTCTACATCTCTCACTCACTCCCTCTCGTCTTCTTTTTTTTCAAAGCTTTAAGATTTCTCATCCAATATGAAGCAATTGCAAAACAGCTGCAAGGGGAGAAAAGCCCCAACGCCCACCGTCAGTCCTGTTTTTATCATAACTCTTCTTGTAGTGTGTATTTTCACATAAAACAGTGACTCCAGCAAATCTATAATTTCATTTGAATTATGTGATTTTTCTTCCCTCCACTGTTGTGTTGGGTCATTTTTAGCCCCGCGGTATAATGCGCGCAGATTGCTTTCTGCATGTACAAGCCTAAAGGTGTTCAGTTTATATGACAGTGAAACCAAAATAGATCATTTAACTTATCGGTCTGCCCGGCATTCATAAAAAGGCTTCTTTAATAAAGGCTGCGTCGCAACTACAAGAGCCACGTTTCCGGCTCATCAATAGCACAGATCCGTTTATTGCAAACAAACAAAAAAAAAGTCAATAATGTATCAAACGAAACTATAAGTATTTTAGATTATGTTAGGTCGAAACATTTGTGATACTTAAAATCCATAGCCTATTTGGCCTTTTGTTCTCAGATTCCTCAAGGGAGTTTTTATTGCACCATCTTTTCCGGTTATGTTTTTTTTTTTCTTAATATAATCTTTTGTCTGCCTATTTTCTGACCATGTAGCAGTATTTTTATTTTTATTTTTTTCTATTGAGACGTGGGATTATGGTGTGGGCGTGGGCGTGTTGGATGGAGGAGGAGGGATGAGCGGAGGCGGGTTAGGAGGGGTCTGTGGGGTGGCACGACACACTTTGTATGTATGAAGGTTTTTTTATAGCACTTTTCTGCAATGTACGTCAGCGGATCAGTCCATAAATGGGGCTGCGTGTGTTTGTGTGCGGGCGTGCGCCTGCGTGCGCTCGGACTGTGTGCGTGCGTCTCCGCGTGTTATCTTTACCGAGAATCTCCCCTCTCTCTCTCTTTCTCTCTCTCTCTTTCTCATACTCTCTCTGTCTCTCTCTCTCTGCACTCTCAGCTCTGCAGAGTTGGGGTGGGCGTCAATAACAAACCTGATGGTAGGTTTTGCATTGCAAAAAAATGAAATTCTTTTGGTATAGGCCTGCTTTTTATCGGGGTTGGGGGGGGAATAAAATGCCTTTCGCAGCAATAAGGACAGCATAAATGATATATTGCTATTGTGTAAACGTTTTTTTTTTATCTTGTTGGCCTTACTGTGTCGCTTTTCATTTGCGATCAATTGGTGCACTTTGGGGCTTAAAGGGATTTAGCAAAATCTGGTTTTAAATTAAGAACGTTCAGAATTCCTTTAAATAACATGTTACTCTTTTTTTTCTAATAAAACTCGATTTCGGATTGTGCTTTCTCACTTTGTGTCAACGTTTTCATTCATAAAATGTAATAACTTGTCTATTTTTTTCTGGCTGATAATGTTTTGATATCAATTATAAATAGGTTATCGATTATTTTGGACTTCAGAAATCTTGACTCACGGTTAGGCGGGCGGATCGTTATATTTAGAGCGAATATTAATCATCTTAATCATTATGGAAATGTTGGCTACATCGCTTGTCGCCGCCGCCGCTGCTGCTGCTGCTTTAGTCACCACCACCATCACCTCAATCACCAACACCTTCATCCAATTAGCAGGCTTGTTTAAACATGTTCGAATCTGATTCGGAACCTTTGATTATTAGAGAGTCGTTACCGTGTGGTGGTTGTGATTTAGCAGTAATGTTGCCCACGATACGTTATTAATACACAGTGGATGTAAAAGTCTTATATGTCGGACCACTGCGGGACCACAACGATTCATGACGCCGTCTGTTAGCAAGCGCGCGACTGTGTATGCGCGTGCGGAAATGTTCGACCATGGCTGTGAAGCATTCAAGTCCCTCTGAGCATGTGAACATGCAGCACATCACCGAATCCAAGCAACTTCCCGATATCATTAAACATTTATTTGTATAAAAAAAAAAAAGGGGGATCAAATTGGTGTCTCTTATGATGAAAAAAAAACAGTAGGCTTATAATAATTCGAGGTTGCATTATGCAGACAGGGTATTTCATAATCAAAAGATAGGATACAGCTGCTGATTTACTTTTCTATAGCCTCATTTGTTTGAGCAAATAACAGAATGCCTTTTGCCTTTTCAGTCTCTTAACAAATATTTTCGCTTTTCCAAGTATTTCTTGGCAATGATTTTTGTTTTCCCTCAGCAGTGAACCATGCAAAGGTTATTGATGCTGTGTGATATTGGATTGGGTGGAGGGGGGGGGGGGGCATAAGCTAAGAAAACAGACAGACAGAGACAGAGAGAGGTTTAATAGGCTGTGGAGTAATTTGCAGTCTATGCCACTATAGACATTATGTGTCAGCTGTAGGAGGATGTGCAGGGAGGGAGTACATATGGAGCTTAGAGGGCTGCTCTTCTGTGTCTGCCTCATGATTACAATAAAGGTTATTGTCATCGCAGGAGAGATGGCATTAATTCCTTTCAGCATGTGATTCAAAAAGGCCTAAATTGATTGAGTGTACCTGTTTCTCTGTGCTGTTCTCCAGCCTGCCCTCATCTCCTTTGACGTCATCAGGCCATATTCACAAATGTTTTCTCAGCTCACGTGTTCACCTGTCGAGGAGGAACACAATTTCTCTGTGATGGAAATACCCCCATCACCTGCCTTTATTCCCAGTGCAAATGGCATTTCACTGAATGTCATTTCATTCGCGTAACATGGTTCCTCTCTTGCGCAAGCTTGTCACAATTCTACTTGTTTAGTGAAGCTTTTGGCCAGTGTGGATCTGTCAGCAAGATGGCACGTTTGGCAACACAAGCCTTGAAAGGTTATACAAGTGTGTTGTGTTTTCGGCTGCTCTGGTTATTTCTTCATCTTTCTGCTGCACAAACCCCACTTTTGCTGCAAATCCTACGAGTTCAGCCTTGACTATAGGGTGACAAACACCTGTAGAAATGAGCCACCTTTAAGATAAAAGGGTTCATCACAACACCTCAGATAGTTTGAAGTTATTGGTGCTATGTCAGGAAATCTTAAACCTATAGAAATCTAACACCTCAATTTCGATGAATTAGCAAATTTAGTCGTTTTCAGAAGGACTCCTGGTTGCCTCAAACATGTCGATAACTTTAATATTCTTTGAACCTTAATGAAACTTGTCAAAAAGATCAAAATGCAACTCCCATTACCCCCAGTTGTTACACATATTAGTTTCATTAAAGCTACAGACAAGTCCACAGACTTCAGTTGTGTTGTATTTGCACAAATGAGAGGGACCATGTTGTTGTTTTTGCTCTTCTAATGAGATGCCAAGTGATTTATTTATGAATTACTTGTTTGGAGCAGCCCCCTTGTGAAGTGTGCATTTTTTTTTTTCAAACTCTTTGGAGTCATGTCGCTCAGTGATTGCTGATGCAACTCTTTGTCATCCAGAGTTTGCCCTCACCTCCTGTGAGCCTTCGGGGAGGGCTATATCTATCTTGGCATGTCCCCGGGTGTGTTGGAGGTGGGAGTGACTCATTAAGCAGGTGTGAGCATCCACTCCCATACTGCTACATGCCAAACAAGAGCTCTGCAGCTCATGGGCTCGTGCAGGAAGGAATCATGATGATGGCAATACAGCGAACACATCACAATAAATCTTTGCACTGGACCAGGGCCAACTCACAAGGATAATGAGCTGCCATTCCCCCATTATGCTCACTCCTGTATTCATCAGAGGTGGATTTTCCAAAACTCCATCACCCAGTGAAAGGTTTTGGCTCCTCTGATATTTGCATTTGTATTTCAGCTTTATAAAACGGAATTGTTTGAATATCAAGAAGCAATGGATTTCATTCTCTGAGTTTAAGCTCTGTCTACATCATTTAAGTGCATTTGTTTTGCTGACATTTGGTAATAATAACCTGTGAAAGCTGGTTACTACACTGCAGAGCACTTGCAGGGGAGTCATCCATCTGTTGTGGAGATGGCTCACTTTAAAAAGCAAGGAGAAGCAGAATTGTTGCAATAAGTTCACCTATTTGTTAGCCCCCAGTGTCTGCTGCATTCCAATTATTCTAACACTTCACATTTTACAGCACAGACATGATTTGTCTTATATTTAGGGGGGTTATTTATAAAAGGAATGACTCCATATTACACATTTATAAGATTATGAGACTCTACTATTTCAGCAACTAATAGATTAAGGATGACTCATGTTGCCTAATATGGATTATGGGAAAATGCATTCAGAAATATGTTTTATAGAATCAAACGCCTTTTTTTCTTAAGCTGCTTTTGATACAAACCACCCAGCCTCCTCACGCTCTGCTCACCAGTACAAGAAGTGCTTATTTTTACATCTCTGAATATCTAATTTTACATAAATAGGCCATCTAGAAATGGCTCGCAGTGTATCACGACTTGGTGGAGACGCGCTGTTACGCAAAACCTTCAAACAGAAAAGAAAAAAAAAGAAAAGAAAAGAACCCCTCTTTGCCTTAGTGAGCGAAATACGGAAGAGGAGAGGCTTGGCTTGTGCTTTATTTATCGCCAGACATTATGGTGTGGATGCAGGCAGCAGGTATGCGGACAAACAGAAGCACATAATGCACACAGAAAGCGCATTAATAGTTCCGCCTCGGGGCTGTTTAAACAGGAGTTTGGTGGCGACCAGTCAGCCAGCGGCAGGTCACATGTTGCAGCGTCATTGTGTAGTAAAGTTACTGTAGTTGCAAAGAGGCTCCTCATTTCAGCTCCAGAGGTCTCCCATCATCCTCTTCCTCCTCCTCCCCGCGGTGCTACTGCTGCCGCTGCAGCGTTTCAGCATGCGACAACTTCAGTTTCAGACCATCTCCACAGGAGCCGCGCAGCCATGGGAGTGCATTACCTCAGCAGCCATGCAATTTCCACCATCAATAATTTAATCTATTTGCTCCAAAGCTGAAGAGATATCCTGAAGCTGGTCGGGGGAGAGCACACAGAGAGGGAAATATCGCGAAAGTAAAATTACTCAGGGAGTTGTCCAAAACATCCCAGATGACACTACTGTCCTGTTGAATGGTCTGTTTTACGACTGGGCAGTGAAAGGTATGTGTCTGTTTGCTTTTCGACAAGTCCTTTAAAGCACTTTTAAGGTTTGTTTGGTGCGTTTTGAGGAAAAGATACAAGTGTGTGTTTGTAAGTGTATGTGTGTGATGTTGGGGAGTGGAGAGGGGGAAGGGGGGGGGGGGTCTAAAAGTAGCTCGATCAAGTCCGGTGTTCCTGCGAATAGACAGCGCCGCAGCCCGAGAGATGAGATATGTGTAACATTATCCTCACGTTCATTAATAAAAAAACGGAGTTATTATGTTGATTGGGTTTCCAGTGGAGAGCACGGAGCTCAGCAGATGTAATCTAGAGAAGAATATAGGCGACACTTTGTTTCATTGCATTTAGCCTGAGTGACGTGACATCTTAATAGCCTAGTATTTCTCTTTGCGTTGTAAGTGGGAAACGATCCAGCCACGATTTAACGACAACTTTGAATGCTTTTGAATATATCCACAAACTCTGTCAAATGTGTTTCATGTGTATTCACGAAGCCTATCTAACCCCCCTGCACTGACTCTACATCAACTACAAAAATAACTTAAGTTATTTTTATTTTTTTGGTTGTTTTGGAGAAGAAAAAACTTTGATGAACTCATTAAGACTTTATAGGAAACCCGAGACCTAGACGCCCAGCTACGGCGGCCAACATACACTGTTGGGTCTACTTCTCGCTGTTGTGAGTGCTCATACTGAATAACTTCAAATTCCTGGCGGGTAGAAATGAAACCCCGTTTATAGAGTGGTGGAAAACTGGCTCATTCGTGACATGTGAACATATATTGTCCAAGAACCCGACCGGGGATAGCAGTGGGAAAAAACGACTGGTTATATGATGGTTTAATGATCAATTCAATGGTGTATTTTCCAAAAAATGTGGTCCAAATTTCTATAGAGTAGTTGTGACTCAAACCCGTTTAAATTAACTTTATAGCTGTGTTGTTGGCTATGTACGCACAAAGCTGGTTGTGCGTCCTGGAAAACTTTTCTCTATCTATCTATATATTTAGCCTTTCTATCTACCTAGTTTCACAGAAGGGAGGGAAAGAGTAAGGAGGAAGATTCAGGGAGGGAAAAAGAAAAGAAGCTCTTATTATTTCACGGTCTCACGCGCCCTCCAGTGTTCAAAGCTAGGAACTGCAGCCTTTTTCCTCTGGCGCTTTAGTTCAGTTGTCTATACTATATATAATGGTATGCAAGAGTTACTGTTTTAAGTTGAAAGAAGCTATTGAGTTGTTATTTATCATTATTGTATAACTGCTACATGATATTAGTGTTTGTAAAACTATGATGAAATTGAGTTTTTAGGCATTAAAAAGAACGATTATGTGGCTTTAAATGTAGTTGGCCGTGATTTTTACCGTATTTTAAATATTTTTGCAGCAATTTCCCACTTTTCCACCATTGCACACAGTGTGTGGGGGGAGGCTTTGTCTCGTTTGGATAGCACAGATCACTCAGCAGCTCTTTGAATGCTGTTCATTCTGAGGCAGTGGCCCGGGTTGGCCTAGAGGCCAGGTATAATCCCTCAGTGATGCTCATCTATTACTAAACGTGCTTTGAAACTGTGTCAGATTGAAAACAGATCTTAAGGCAGCAGGCTTCCACATGTGTCAGCCATTACTGCAGACAACTCTAACTGCCTTTTTTCAAAAGTGCTGCATTGTGGCACAGAAGGGGTCCTCTCGGTTGTACATTTTGATATCATGTGCTGCTTTAGCTTTTTTTCCCCCCTCTTCTAGCTGAACATTTGACATTGTGTGCTAGACATGTCGAACGTGAAAAAACATGTTGCTAGGTATTGTAAATAGCTCTCACGGACACTGATCTCGAGGAGTTGAACAAAGACAGATGCCCATGAGGATGCAGAGAACAAATGCAGCTATAGGTCATGCATTTCTATTCAAATGCGGATGCATATTTCCCACTTTCATCTCTCCTATTTGATGTTTAGTTTCCTTCATAACGGTCTTTTTAAGATATCCCTCCTGCTGTTGTGGAAGATGAAGCTATAAAGTGTGGAGAGAGGTTGGGAAGGACTTTATTGAATGTGAAATAATACTATAGTCATGCTAGTCCTTTCATGCTTTAGAAAAACTTCGGCATCTGTCAAAGGAGGCATTTATCACTTTAATCCCCACCTGGCACAAAGAATAAAACGCCAGGGTAAGTTACATATCCCCGCCATACAGCCGTGCTCTCAAAGCAGATGAACAGGTGGTCATCTGGAGACGTCAACAGTAGATAGAGTCCACACACTCACCTGCTCCTATTGTTCTGAGTGTTTTATGCCTTAGGTGCTGTCATGAATAAAGGCGTGTTTGAGCAGCAGTTATTGCAGAAGTGATTTATGTTTACCTTCAAACATAAATTTGTTCAATGTGCCCGGATTCAATTTTCAACAGACTTTAAACAATGTAGTAAGATAGCACAGGCTAAACTACTTCTCTGTCAGATATTTATTTCACAAAAGAGACAGCCACAACGCTGCTTCAGAGGCTCAGAAAAAAAAACGACATTTTCTTCTACACATTCCTCCATAGGCACTTCCTCCCTTGTTTTATAATTCATGCTCATTGTGTTAACTCACAAGCCGCCTTTTTCATTAACTACGAAATCCGCTAGTGCACATAAAACCTTCCTTACTGGATGTATAAAACAAGAGAAACCAATCAGTTGTCACATTTAGCCTCCAGTAGATATAAGCCAGAGATCCTCCGCCGGTCCCACAGCAATTAAATGATTCATTGGCTTTATCGCATTTTAACAGGATGTTGATTGAGAGCATAAGCCATATTGATTGTCCTGATGGAAACAGGAAATCACAGAGATAGAAATAAAATCATTTGTTGTTCCCGGTGTGAGGATACACAGGGGAATGGCACGCAATTGCATACTGTTGAGTGGCATTACCCCCAGCAACCCCCACCCCCACCCCCACCCTCTTCTCCTCCACCCTCTTCTCCTCCATTCTCTCCCCTATGGAGACCTGGAAGAGACGTCATCTGTGGTTGTTATGCTGCGAAATGACGCTGGCACTCTCTCCACCCCCTGCTACTGCAATATTACCCCTGTGGTCTGTTACGGAAGATGCAGCACTCCACGTCTGCACCATTTCCAGCATGAAGTTTGACGCCTAACAGTAATCAGCCCTCTCCCTTCATTTCCGTCATGTGGAAGTGGAACCATTTGAGCGTGATGCTGATAATAATATCAGCCTAAATGCATCCTACACATAAGGGCTCGTGACTGGCCTCAATCCCGTAAACCTACGTGGTTTTCTGTTTCTGGGGAAGCCTCACAGAAATTCCTTCTTATTGGAACAAAATTTAATTAAAAAATAAAGGTTATTAAGCTAGAATTTACAAATGAAATAGCTTTTATTACCTGACAAAAAAACATTTATCTCCTTTTTTTCCTCATTGTTGTTTTAATTGGTAAGAGGAAATATACCCACTTTCCTCCCTGCCAACACACACACACACACACACACACACACACACACACACACACATATATATACACCAGCCCCTCCCCATGCCCTCCCCCTTAACTCACACACTCAGGAGGAGCGCGTCACTGAGCTTGGGGAATGAGTGGCTCATTAAGAAGAAGGATGTGATATTCTGAATAGAGACTGTGAGACTCCCAGTACGTCTATTTTTAGACAACATATCTCTATGGCAGTCACCGTGGTGTTGGTTAATTGCAGCCACGGCCCCAGATACCAATTAAGAATGATACAAATGCTTTTAAGGTTGGGGTTTTTGGCTCCTCCTTACTGTAAAGGTGCCCGTGTCTGAACTGATGCAGACAGGAGTATGAGTGTTTGCTCGTCATGTTTTCCCGTATGAAGTTTGAGACGTGCAGAGTGCAGTCAAAGCCTTGGCCGGGCTATCTTTAAATTAGCCCCCCTGTGGAAAGCAAGATCTAGATTTTCTTTTCATTACGGCTGCTTTTATGTCTGCTTGGATGTCCACAGATGCATTGATTTGCTGTGCGTCTTAGAGCTTCTTAAAAGGTAAGCGATGCTCATGCGATTTACCAGTTCAGTATTTCCGCTACACCTGTCCTGGTGCTCCACCCTGCCTGGCAGATCTTTGCTTATCTTGTGTGAGTTGTTCTCAGGAGTGGAGAGGACGACACTTCTTCCTGTCGTTTAGTTTCCACTCTTGCCTGTTGACCTGCGGAAAACAAACATTGTTCCTCAACAAACTCCTGAATCTTGTTAATGTCTGTATGGTTGAGTATCAGACCAGTACTACAGCACAGACTTGTTTTTTTTTTTTTTTTTTATAATAATAATACTGCAGCTCCTGTGTTTGTCAGAGCTGACACAAAACAAACATTCCCCTTTCAGGCTGTCGGCGAGTGTTGGCCATGTTGGAGGTTGATAATGGTGATTTTGTTAGCAGGGTTAATGATATGGTCAAACAGTAAAACATGAACTCCTCAAACAAATCATATCCTTCTGTCAACACATGCATGGCCTGTGCAAACACTGCTGGTACACAATTGACCCTCACATGGTTGATGCCTTCAAATGCATCCACGTGTCACTTTTATTCTCAATAAAGACAAAATCCAACCCGCCAGGAAATGACTGGCCCGAACAAACATCAATTCTAAGGCTATTAAAAACTGCCAAGTTGTTGATACACATGTAAGGAGAGGAGGATGACGGACAGGTTAAGCCATTATTAAACTACACATCTTCTCACATGCTAGAAATAAACTACATAGTTAAACACAGCAGTGAAAAAAAGGCTCATAAATAATAACAAGCCTGTAAGGATGTAGTGACATCCATTCGTGTGATCTTATCTTTTGTAATAAGCGATCTCTCTGATGCTCGGCACAGCTTTTGTGCCTCGCTGCCAACAAATAGAAATGTAAGCCAGACATCACATAGGAACAGAATGATAACAGTTTGCAAACAATTTGAAAACACTGGTGATGACACAGCGCCAAGATTCAGTCTCATAAAAAAACAGTTTATGATTATTCCAAAGCTACTGGCTCCCTCTTTGGCGTGCACAAAAAGAGTAGAGGGTGTAAATAAGAGGGGAGGCTTACATGGTGCATAATGGATCAAAAATAAGCAGTTCATAGAAAATGCTCTTTGATTAACCGCCTTGTTCCCTCTCTCCCCCCTGCCTCCCTCTTCTTTTCTGTCTGTGTCTTTACAGTTCCACCAGGTTAGAAGAGTGATGACCATCCTGTTCCTTACTATGGTTATTTCATACTTCAGTTGCATGAGAGCTGCGCCCCTGAGAGACGCGATGGGCATGCGGGGCCATCGGACAGAAGGCTACTTGGGCGCCGCTGCGACGGCCATACGAGGCCACGGGACTCCTCAGAGTGGCGGTGGGCCGGGCCAGCGCAAGGAGCTGCCCTCGCTCACAGACACATTTGAGCAAGTGATAGAGGAGCTGCTGGAAGTGGAGGGGGAGGCGGCGCAGCTGGGACAGGGGGCCGATAAGAGCCAGGGAGGTGGGGGCCCGTCCTCTTTGGTCACGGCAGACCCCAAGGATGTCGACCTGTACGACTCGAGGGTGATGATCAGCAACCAAGTGCCTTTGGAGCCGCCGTTGCTCTTTCTCCTGGAGGAATACAAAAACTATCTGGATGCCGCTAATATGTCCATGAGGGTACGGCGACACTCAGATCCTTCCCGGCGCGGAGAGCTCAGTGTGTGTGACAGTATTAGCCAGTGGGTGACAGCTGTGGATAAAAAGACGGCAATAGACATGTCTGGGCAGACAGTTACCGTCATGGAAAAAGTCCCTGTCCCCAATGGCCAACTGAAGCAATACTTTTATGAGACCAAATGCAACCCCATGGGGTACACAAAGGAGGGCTGCAGAGGAATAGACAAGCGGCATTATAATTCCCAATGCAGGACAACCCAGTCCTACGTGCGAGCGCTTACCATGGATAGCAAAAAGAAGATTGGCTGGCGGTTTATAAGGATAGACACTTCATGTGTATGCACATTGACCATTAAAAGAGGGAGATAGTGTATAAAATGTATAGATTTTATTGAAGAGTTTAAAAAAGAGAATAAAGAGAAAATATCTATTTGTATATATACATAACAGGGTAAATTATTCCGTCAAATGAAAATTTTATGGACTGCATGTAAAAAAAGATGAAGTTTATACAGTAAAAGTGATACTACAGTCTATTTATTGAACATATTCATGACCTTGTAAACAATTAAAAAAAATCTGATCAGTCATTTGCGCCCAGTTTAAATTACTATATCACATTCCTCAAGACATTGTGATTTGTTTATGTTGCCAAGAATTAGAAAAATGAAGGGAAACACACAGGCAAGGAATGAGAGAGGACAGTTCCATCTTCAAAAGCTTGCATGCTGCTTCAATTGTGAATCAAGAAATTCTCCACTTACAAAAAAGGATTCAATGCTGACCAAAAAACATTCCGTTTACATATTCAGCAGAAAAACAATCTTCCTCTCAAGTAATTTATCTGTTTACTGTTCTAAACTTCTCAAGGTAATGTTGGAATTACATACTATGTCAAGGTGCTGTTGTCAAAGCTTTGCTGTTTATTTTTTTATCCCCACCAGAGGACAAGATATATAAAAAAAAAATATATATATATATATATAAAATCTATTCATTGACATGTTTCTTGGTTAATATTATTCATTTTGTATGTTGTGAAGTTGTTTGCAATATTAAACTGAAATATTTGAAGAAATAAAAATGACTATAGGCAACTGAAAAACAAAATCAATGTCGGTAAAGTTTCAACAGTGTATTTCCAGGCAGCAAAAACATTACTTTGCAGACAGGCAAATAGGATAGAAGAAAGACAACACACACAAACACACACAAGATTCGCATAAACAAATGCTCCATATAAAAACCCAATTCAAATCATGTAATGACAGGTATTTTATGGATATTTTCCAGCTCTTGGTCTAATCCTGAAGAGGAAAAAATGTTAATTACACACTTTCTGCCCCTCACCAACCTGTAATCACTGCAACACAAGCGTACAGTGTGTCTGTTGAAAGTGCAGTGTTTGTACACGGGTGTGCAGAGATTTATTGAACTGTTACTTCAGCTTCACATGTAATCTTTCACAACAACAGAAACTCAACACCACAAGAGAAGCGCCTACACACTCACACAAGTGTAGACCAGCAAAAGTAGGCTACGGTTGTGGCTACATGAAGCATGCCTGAGTCTTTCAGTGATGGATTCATCCACCCATGTGTGTACACTAAAAACATACACTCAACATTTTGTTATTAGTGCATTGAAGTCCCACCTTTAAATCTTCAAAAGAGGAACGATCGTTGCAGAGTTCATGCAGCTGTACAATGGTAAAGCCATTGCTACCCCTTGCACAACAAGTCTATGCTTTGGTTTGGGGTTGTGGAAAAAGAAGAGTGTTCAAAATTTTCAATTTCTCACAGAATACATGTATATGTACCCACAATATGATACATTTCACCGGGAGAAAACAGTCCCGTTTTTTTTAAAAAGCTGATCAAAATCTTCACCAACAGCTCCAAATGAGTCGCATGTTTGCGTTACAAGGGATGCCTTCCGACAAATTCTTCTTCTTCAGCCTACTGAAGGTAAGTGTGACCTTTTGAAGAAGACCAAATGCTGTATTTGAAAAAAAAATAATACTGAAAAGGGAAATGTTTTTCTCATGTGCAGATGAAAGGTTTACACTGTTTCTCTCAGATCCTCTGATGAAGATGCTGAAAGTTAAAATTCTTCTGCACCACTTCTGAGAAAGATGAGAAGCAAGCAGTAGTCTCAAATGAACCTTGTCATGAATTAACAATAAAAAGGCTTCCTGACATTTATTTGCAACCAAAGTAAGAATGAACAACAATCCCCCTTCAGATAGATTTGGAATGACTTGTTAAAATTGGATGTATGTGACTGAGCACCTGCTAAATCTTACCTTCTTGCAGTGTATCCTAGACAAGATATTTTGAGCTGCTTGATTCATCATGAGTTGAAGCCTCAGGCTTCTTTTGTTCAAGAATGCTTAAGTAATACTAAACTACCATCCTCCAAATGCAGTCATTAATGAACAAAGTGATTCTGAAATATAAGTGTAGTCTTTGAGCCAGGATGTAGCCATTAAACATGCATGTTGGTTAATACATTACAGTAAGATGTATTTTTACTTTGACCCAGAGCTTTGGCTGAAGCTTAAAGACAAAAGCAAGGGGGGGGGGGGGAATTAGGGAAACAACTACTTTATTGCATAAGAAAACAATTTTTAAAAATAGCTATTTTCCCCCTAAATGTGGGTCCCACATAAAAGTATTTTTTTTTGCGTCTAGTCACGCCCCATTGGTGATGTCACAGCAGGTGTTTTTCATCAGTTGTCAAAGCACTGTGTGTCATCACCAGCTGGGGTGTGGTCAGGAGTGATTCATGCTTGAAATGTTCAGCCCACACAGAGAGCAGTGCAGCAGCAGTTTCTGTAGACTTGTATTCTGCAGAGTCGCCAGCAGAGGGCAGCAAAGGAGCCGCTTCTCCCAGGTGTCGGCAAAGGAAGTTTCTGGCAGGTCCCCTGTCACCCATCAACAAAACATTATGTAACAATCCCTGGAGATATAAGCGTCCATGCACAGGCTAACTACTATTAAATTAAATATCTATCAGTGATGATAGTAGATTTAATTAACTGAGTGGTCGTTTAATATTGGTATAGGATGGAAATGGGTACTTTTCCTTACTGTTTACTGGAGCGACAGTATGGCTTATTATGTTCATTGTGAACATATTTACCAAAATAAACCTAAAATTAAAATTAATCTTTTCTCACACTGTCCTGCATGACGAGTGGAGATCGTCTGCATGCATGTAATATGAAATCAGACACTTAGTTTGTCATAAACACATTTCTTACCGGAATATTGTCAACAACCCCAGACTGAATATGTCGACAACTAGATAATGTATGGAACTGTGTTATATATAAAGTTAGATGTAGAAATAGAGATAATGTATGGACCTTCAGTGATAATGATTCCTCGACAACTTTGAAATACAGCATTGGTTGAGGAATTGTGTTAAAACGGAATACTGATATAAATCATTAAATTATAGTGAGTGGAGAGACCCTCAGGAATACAAGCATACAAAATAAACTACGGGAAAATAATCTGTCGAGTTCGTTGATTTACCACTTTTACGAGGGTTACATGAACGCCCCATGACACTGGCAGCTAGCCTAGCCAGCTAACTTTGCTAATCTGAATTATCGTCTCGGTTAAGCACACGGAAAGCTAGCAAGGATTACCAAATTTAGTTTTCCCCACATCTAGCGTTCAACGCAATTTTTCCTATCGGACACTCAGCGAAAAAAAAGGTTATTTGAAAGAAATGGCGTCGCTTGGAGAACCTGTGCGACTGGAAAGAGGTAACCATAGTCGACTAGCTTACGTTAGCTTAGAGATATTTGTTGTGATACCGGGGAAGACATTAAAGCTAGTTTAGCTAGCGTTAGCCAGATGGTTAGATTTAAGTTATTACCATCTTCTTTCTTGTTAATGTTGTTTTATGTTGAGTCTTGTTAACAGCTAATCGTATTGGCTGTTGTTTTTGTTTGTCTCATTTGCTCCGGCAGAATTGCAAGATAGTTTTACTGCTTCAATGTTTCACAAGATAATTAATAGTTACAACACTTGGCTGGTTTTTTTTAAAGATTCTTCTTCAACATCGAGGCTTCATAACAACTTGACACACCAGTTTCATGATCCTGATCATCTAAGACTTTATATTATAGACTTTATTTCAATCTCAGCTGCTGCTGTGTGTGTGTAAATAACTGAGGTTGATACTGAAACAAACAACATTATATTAATAATGATGTTTGTTTACCTGCAGAACACCTGAAGTAATAAGTTAAACAACCTGTTTCCGTATTTTAACTTTTAAGTTAAGTTTCTGGTTATGGTTTAATATGTTACTGCAGCAAAGAGATTTATTATTATTGCTTTAATATAGTGCATAACTTCTGTACAGTTTATTTTAATTTGCTTAGCTGTTAATACAACTCATTTATTTTTACTTTTTTGTACTCTTTCTTTTTTTTTCTTACAATGCTAGTACAATAATTCCAGTGTACCTGTACTGTCCTGTACCTGTGCACATTTTCTTTTTAAGATTGACGATATAATGTCCCATGTTGGTTATATATTCATCATTTAATTCAATGACATGTTTGTATTGACATCTCAGTTTAGGTAGGTGCAGTAAATCTTTCTCTGAAGCCTGGTGTAGTTCATCTTGTCTTATTGACTCATGAAGTGTCATTGAAGGGTTTTTTATTCATTTTCTCCAACCAGGGGAAAAAAAAAAAAAAAGTATGATCAGAATAAATCTACTGCAAGTCACGAAAAATCAAATTTCAAACAAATTCACATGTTTGTTCAGAGGAAATGGACCAAACAATAATTAGTTTATACATTTATAATGTATTCCAGTGGGAACACCTTTTGTTTAATTTCTGAAGCTCTCTAGATGCTCACTTATATTCTGGTGCAGATTGAGCACTGCCTTCAAGCGGGCAATGTCTTCATATCAATGTGGATATCAATAAAAGTCTTGATGATTATCTTTGTGTTTGTTTTCCTGTTGACAGATATTAACCGTGCTGTTGAACTGCTTGATAAGCTCCAGAGGACGGGGGAAGTGCCACCCCAGAAGCTACAGGCGCTGCAAAGAGTCTTACAGAGTGAATTCTGTAATGCTGTCAGAGAGGTTAGGCTGTTTTGTCTTTGTCACTGTTTGGGCGCTTCGCTGTGCGAGAGGACAGAATAACAGAGTTTGGTTTGATTACTTGTATTCAATTATTCAAGGAATGTGACCAAATACTGTCCAACCATGTCTCCTCAGGTTTATGAACATGTGTATGAAACTGTGGACATCAACAGCAGTCCTGAGGTTAGGGCCAACGCCACAGCTAAGGTATACCCAATTTCATTGCTATCTATTTTTATTTTCAGACCATTTGTATCTTCAAGACCCTTTGTTGTTTTGAGTTAAACCTTTACATATTGCTTGCTTGGAGTATAAATACAATATATGCAAAGGTTAAAGAACTGTTTATTTGTAGGCAACTGTGGCAGCTTTTGCAGCCAGTGAGGGACACTCACATCCTCGTGTCGTGGAACTGCCTAAGACGGAAGAAGGCCTGGGTTTCAATATAATGGGTGGAAAGGAGCAGAACTCACCCATTTATATCTCACGGATCATCCCAGGAGGCATCGCTGACCGACATGGAGGCCTGAAGAGAGGCGACCAGCTCCTCTCTGTCAATGGGGTGGTACGTTCAATTTTACAGACTTACTCTTAAGATGTTGGGATGCAGTCGCATAAAACACATCAGTCTGATCACATGAAAATATTTCTCAGACAGCTTTATTCAATTCCATGTAAAATATAAACAAAGCAAAGCTGGGGATTTTGAATAACATCTTCCTGGAAATTAAATAAACTCTGAAGCAGTTTGGACAGAAAAACAATCTAAACTTCTCAAATTGGACCTTTTTTCTTAAGTTAATTCTTTTGTTATAGCCCAAAATATAAAATAAAACATATCAGACATTTGCCTCAACAGATTGTACAGACACAGTATGTATTTTTCTGTTTGACTTTGGAGCTTATTCGTGGCAGTAAGAACTGTGTTACTCAATCA